ATTAAAATAACACAACTCCGTTTTACTTTTAGTTGATTTTGCTGTTAAATTATCTTACAATTACAGGGCCTTTTAAACTTTTTAAGATCCACATGCGACTTACTTCGGAATCGGGCATCATCCTTCTGACGTCATATCCGGCGCAAAGTTACTTGCCTAAACCTACCTTTGCCTGAATCAGCCTCCTCCGGGTCTGCAGCTGGACCCTTCTCCTTTTATGGGCTGGCCCGGACGCTCAGCTTTTCTGCATGATGATTGAATGATCTCTCTGAGGCGGAATCTCTTTTTGATTGACAACAAAATGAGCCAATCACCGATCTTTTGGTGTCTGCATCCGTGGGAGCATTTTTCAATTCTCATTCTGTTCTGAGTTGAACTGGAGACTTCTTCTAATCATTTTAGCGACACTCTCTTTGTTGACAACGACAAGCAACAGATTAATATTTTATTTCTGGTGGGTTTTATTGTCCGTTTTGATTGTGTTCCAGTTGCAATAGTTTGAAGCAGTGTTTCTCAAACTTTTTGTCCAGTTCAAACTTTGGGGAAAAAAGTGAAGCTCCACCGCACCACCACTATGCCTGACCTGAAAATGGAGTCATGTGGTCGACCAAAATGTTCATGAAACCCGGGGCAGCGGTTTTATTTCTAAAAACTACACTCCTATTATTGTCAGCCATTGAAAGGGTATGGCCGCTTGATTGACAGGGCGCGTAAATGTCGGAACATAAATAAATGGACGTCCTCAATTAATGCTTTCATGCAAATGTGTTGCACATGAAAGTTAAGAAAACCTTTATTTATCCCACAATGGAGAAATTTGCGAAACAACAAATGTCCAGTGCTTCAATAGTTGACAACGTACCGTGCGTTTGACTCGAAGGCATGTTTTACATGTATCTATTAAATACATGATCTGCCAGGATATCAGATCTGTGGTCATCGAAACCTTTTATCTCACTGAGTGATAATAAATATGAAAGATTATAAAATATTGGATTGATGTTGATTTGATTCCTTTTCAAGGTGTTATAACATGACGTTATTCTTCAATGAAAAAAAACGCCCTTATAACAACAATATAACACTAATTGTTAAAATAAGCTTTTTTTCACATTTTCAGCTAGTGGTGTCCCGCGGGATTTTTTTCAGCGAAAGAAAGGTGCCTTGGCTGGAAAAAGACACTGTTGTAGATCATGGCATGTCAACGAAGAGTACCGGTCTTGACCGCGGAAGAGAAAGTGAAACGCACCCGATAAAGCCAAGCGGGTTACATCATACAAAACATTCAGGAGTCGCTTGGAGTCGCAAAGACTCAAATCTACAAGACTTTCTGCCAATTTCCCTGCTCAGAGTGAATCGCTTGCGGCTCGACAGAGTCGAGTCAATGAACGTTTCCGAGAATGCTTTACCTGTTTTGGTGCGAAAAACCTTCCGCTAACTGCACCGCTAAATTGGGAGAATGCTAGCTCCATGGCGCTAACTATTAGCATGGAGGACTTCGAAGAGTCCCTTGGCTGGCTTTAAAAGTTGGTTGCACGACATCAGCTGAGCAACGCTGTCGTGGGTGGGGATCGAGAGGTCAAGTTTGAGACAGTGAGTGAGTGGAAAGAAAAGCCACCAGGTCTCTTACTTGTCTCATTTTCCAGCAAACTTTGTTAGGACTATTTGGTTCACATACCTGAACTGTTTGCTGTAGTTTTTGTGTTAGAAACATTTTTTGGGCAACACATGGTTGCAATTTGTTCCTTGTGTTGTCACACGTGTATGTTGGTCACATACTTGCATGTTCATCAAGGACATGTACCATAGTCGTATCCCACATATGGAAATTCTGTTATAAGGAAAGATTGGACACCGCAAATATGATTCGTGACTAGAAAATACTTAGTGTATCGGTCTACTTCTGCTGGTCGGACCACAACCTGTCTGCAGCAATGCACTGGCTGAAATCGGTGATCAACAACACTGTTCTCATGAAAAAAAGTAGATTCATACTTGAATTCCTTTGTTCTGTTCATGTTTGATATGGACCGTCAACAAATGCAGTTTTTTTTTTTTTCAATGTACCATATCTTGTGCTGACCCGGCCCACATGTCAACTTTTAAAAGTCAATGTGGCCTCCGATCCAAAAAGTTTGCCCACCCCTGCTCTATTTCATATCGAACGTCGTGTTACTTTTGCCTCATCATTCCTAAGAGCTTGCGAGTGGTCATTACGTCACACTTTGAGAATCACCGTTGAAAAATATGAGAACTCTTTTCATCTCGATCCGGTATGATTGCATTTATTACAAATCATCATCATCATCGGAAAAACGCACTGTATAGCCTACGTTGAGTTTCATGCGTGGATAGTCGATAACGTTCTATTTTTTTGTTGTTTTTTTTTTTTTTGTCGTTGGGGGGTTATCATGTGTCATCTTAATCCAAAGATTTGAATTGTTATTTTTCAAATGAATGACAATAGTAAAATGTCAGGTCATTTGTTTTACTTTGGAAGTGTGTTTCAACCAACGGTGAGGGCCATTCAACATCTTTGAAGAAATCAAAAAGAGAAAACTATGAGTGTGGGGTTATCAAATCACCGAGAAGCGTTGTGAGTAAAAATGTGCTTCTGTTAAACGTGGCGTCAATCATGTCCAGAGTGTCGAGGCCCCGATAGCGGATGGAATCATGTCAAACACGCATTGTGCGACGCTGCTGAATGGAAAGCAAAAGAATAAAATTGGGGTCATTTTCTTGTCTTTTCTTTCAGTGCTACATACGCTGAGTTATTTAACCACAGCATCCTCTCAAATTGCAAAGCTGCCAGAGTTCTGGGAGGTCGCGTATGTTGACGGCGTTCAGATTGTGCAGTTTGACAGCAAGAGCCGGAAAACAAAAGCCAAACTGGACTGGATGAACAAAATCGCAGTAGAGGATCCAGACTTGTGGGAGCGAGAGATGCGCGTCAGTCTTGGCAATGAACAGGTGTTCAAGGTCAACATTGAAATCATAAAAGAGCGCTTCAACCAAACTGGAGGTTCGTTACCGTTCAACTTTCTGCTCGTACAACGTAGCGGATGTGCCCCGACTCATAAACACGCATGTCACTGCTGGCTTCTCTCTGTTCATCGTGTGCGTGACACTTTCAGGCGTTCACATGATGCAGTGGATAAATGGCTGTGAATGGGATGACGAGACTGGTGAGGTGAATGGTTGGAATGAGTACAGGTATGACGGAGAAGACTTCATCTCATTTGAGTGGAAAACGATGAGATGGATCGCAGCGAATCCAGAAGCTTTCATCACAAAGAACAAGTGGGAACGATCGGACGGCCTAAAAGAATACACCAAGAGTTACGTCACTGAGATTTGTCCTGTTTTCTTGAAGACGTATGTGAGCAATGGGCGGGACTTCCTGATGAGAACAGGTGCGGCGGCCTCACACACTCTCTTGTCCTCTCAGCCATTCTCTTCATCTGTCCATCGTCCTCCCACGCTCTCGCTTTCTTTCACCCTCTCGACATGCTCGCCGTTGGTTGTTCTCTCACACCTTCTCGGCACGCTTCCAATTTGTCCTCGCTTGCTGTTTCCTTCGCCGTTTTACGCATTCCCTCCATCTTCTATTCACGGGTATGTTCTTTCGCTCTCACACATCTTAGCCCTCGTTGACCCCTCTCACACGTTGCCCCTTTTACCCTCTCACCCTTTCTCCTTTTGCCCGGCTTTTGTCCGCTCACGCTTTCTCTCCGTCTTTATCCTGATGCGTTCCGGTCATCTTTTGCCCTCACACATTCCCTGACCGTCATCCTCTTGCGCATGCTGTCCCTACTTCCTCCTCTCACATGATTTCTCCTCCCACATTTCTCTTTGCAAAGTTCTTCTCGCACTTTCTCTCCATCTTTGGTCCTCCCACGTGTCCTCTCGTCGTCTTTTGTCCCCCTAAATCGTTCGCTCCCTCCTCGCCGCTCGGTGGGCAGAGCTTCCCACGGTGTCCCTCCTCCGGAAGACACCTTCCTCTCCGGTCACCTGCCACGCGACGGGTTTCTTCCCCCGCACATCGGATCTTTTTTGGAGGAAGGACGGCGAGCAGCTGCACGAGGACGTGGAGATGGGCCCGAGGCCGTGGACACCGCCCAGACGCTCCCCAACCACGACGGAACCTTCCAGACCAAGGCCCACCTGAAAGTGGAGGTGACGCCCGACGCGGAGGCCAAGTACGAATGTGTGTTCCGGCTGGCCGGCGTCGAGGAAGCCATCGTCGTTAAGTTGGACGGCAAAAGCATCCTGAGCAACGCGCGCGTCCCAGGTGAGCGCCGCACACCCACTTGAATCATTGCGTCACCTCGGATTCACTCTTGCCGAACGGTGTCGTGACGAGCCCTTCGCATGCTTCACTTCATCGCTCAAATCTTTGTTGCCACGTAAAAAAGAAGAACAACTCAAGGAGATGGTGGTGGCCATCGCGGTCACGTTGGGAGTCCTGGCTCTGCTGGCGGCGGGGGTGGCGACGGTCCTTGCCAAGCGTCGCCGGACCAGACAAGGTGAGGGACGCCAACATTTGGTCTGCCGTGAAGATCCAAAGAGAACATCGCTACCTCACGCCACTTGTGCCAAAATGCTCGTCATCCTAACTTCCTTTCTCTTTCCTTCCAGCCCAATACTCTGCAGCATGTAAGTAAACCATTTTCAGTTTCCTTTGAGCCACAATAAACGGGGCAGTTCCACGAAGGTCCGATTTAGGCCTTTGCCACCAAAGAGTGAATCAGGAGTCGCTTGAAACGGCAGGAAAAGTCGGCTACGTGACGATGCACACATGAATGTTGATGGAGAACCGCCGTGAGAAGCTCTTGCTGTGCACAAAAAAGAACAAAACTACATTGGTGCCTTTCACACGAGTTGAATTTGTTGAGTGGCCACGCTCGTAACCGAAACCACGAGCCTCGCAAAAATCCTCTTTGTCCATTGAAATGAACAGAAATGCCATTCATCCGTTTCAGCCGTCCCCAAAAAGACAACAAATAATGGTTGTCAGGTGTCATTTCAAATAGCCCTCCCTAAAATTGTATTAAAAAAAAATCATACATACATGCACGCAGTCATGTGATCATTAAATCAATTTTATGAGGTAGAACATGTTTGTTCTTGTTTGGTCTCACTGTTGATTGATGGCCACTGAGCTTCAGACATATTGGACAGTTTAAGTCAGACGCTAATTTGGGCATCTCAAATCCTTTGAGGACACCGGTATGTCACTAATATTAGTTGTTTTGACGCAGAGGATAAAGAATACGTGACATGACGCTGCGTACTGTACAGCGCAGACGCGGCAACAGTTGAAGGACAAAAAGACGCAAGGAAAAGATCGGACAGCGCTGCAAGATTCATTCGGCAGTGAACGTCTCGGCAGAGCAAATTCTTTGGCGCGAGCGTGACTTGTTTCGCTTCACATCTTACGCTGTGCTTGCACTTCCTCAGCCGTTTCCACCGATCCCGAGCCCCTTGCCAAGTCAGACACGGCGGCCGTCGCACAGTGAGTTAGCTTCCACATGATCTTTGGAAACTGGAAATGCTCTTGGCCACATCTTGATGTGGATTCTCGTTCACGGTTTGCTTCTGCTCTTCTCCGTCCAGACGTCAAGAACACAAGTGGGCCTGCTGAGCACTTTCTCATCACACCGCCTCTGAAAACGCTGACGTTTTTTTTCTTCTTCAAGCGGACCATCTGTGCGATTTAGGTTCTGTTAAGTCACGCTCAAAGGTTTGTGGTTTTGGGGGGGTTTGAGGTTTCTGTGTGAAAATGCCTTTTTTGTAGCAATCAATTGGCGAATTCAAGAACTGAATGTCATCAAGGTCACGATTGAATGGGATTTTATGGTCCTCCAAAAATGTGCTCGATGGTTTCGATGGGATCTCTGCATTCTTGTTTGATTGTATAGTCAAACCTCGGTTTTCGAACGTCTCTGTTCTCGACCAAATCGGTTTTCGACCAAAAATTTTGAGTTTTTAAGGCCTCGGATTACGACCGAAATTCGGTTCTCGACCAAACCGAGCGCACTTGAATATGCCACTCGACTTCTCTCGACTTCCGTACACGAGGAAGTGACGCTTCCTCTGGTTAACGAGGAAGTGATGGCTCCGTTGTGAGCAGACGTGTTCAATAAAGATTTTGTTTTTTTTTTAAAAGAAAGAGCGTCCATTGTGAGCAGACGTCTTCAAAGATTGAAAAAAGAGTGTCCATTGTGCGACCATTGTGAGCAGACATGTTCAAAGATTTAAAAAAAAAAAGAGCGTCTATTGTGCGTCCATTGTGACCAGACGTGTTCAATAAAGATTTTTAAAAAAGCAGACGTGTTTCTTGAGATCGACGCAAATTCGACTGTTATTTCTGCATGGCACCAAAGAAAGCAAGTGGAAGTCGTAAAGCTGCTGAAAAAAGAGGAAAATAGTGCGCAAAACTATTGAATTTAAGAAAGATTTGATAAAGAAATATGAATCAGGTGTGCACGTGTCTGTGTTGGCTAAGGAGTTCGGCATGCCGAAATCAGCAGCATCCTAAAAAACAAAGACCATCATAAAGTCAGTGATGTGACTAAAGGATCTTGTGTGTTGAGTGAACAAAGGCCACAAATATTTGAGGAAGTGGAAAAACGTTTGCTTATTTTTATAAATGAGAAACAGCTAGCAGGGGGCAATCTTAGCCAAGATAAGATTTGTGGCAAAACAAGACAATTGTATGGAGATTTGATAAAAAAGTATCCTGGCATTGCTCCTGAAAAGTTTGATTTTAAAGCCAAGCAGAGGATGGTTCGAAAAGTTGAGAAAAGGAAGTGATTCGTCATGGGGAGGCAGCCAGTTCAGACAAGGAAGCTGCCGAAAACTGTAAAGTTGAGTTTGAAAATCTCATCAAAGCCGAGGTCCCCAGCAAACTTAAAGTTGAGTTTGAAAATCAACCGAGGAATGTCTTCCCCAGCAAACTTTTAATATTGACAAGACTGGACTTGTTTGGATAAAGCAGTTCAGAAAATGGATGGAGGGATGTTACCTCGTACCGTAGTGTAGGATTGCAGACAGATCATCCATAGTTACAGCCATTACTTTAGGGCTGATAAATTCAAGGTGTAAAAGAATGAAATCTACAATTGTCAAGATGAGAGAGAGAGAGATGTTCAATTTTTATGTTGCAATGTCAATTTTTTTGTTAAAATTGGTAAAAATAAAACATACATAATGTTTGTAGTTTGTTGTTACCTGCTCTCTTATTCCACGTGTATATAGTTTATGGTGTAAAATAATTGAAAAAAATGATTTTAAAAAAAGTTGTTTTCGAGACTTGGAACGGATTAAAATTTTTTACATTGATTGTAAAGGGAAACATGATTTCAGTTTTCAAACAATTCGGTTTTCGAACAGCCTTCTGGAACGGATTATGGTCGAAAACCGAGGTTTGACTGTATAACAAAGTTCGGACTATTTGCTGCAAAATGAAACGAGTAAGAGACCTGGTGGCTTTTCTTTTCACTCACTTGCTGTCTCAAACTTGACCTCCCCTCGATTGCCACCCACGACAGCGTTGCTCAGCTGATGTCGTGCAACCAACATCTGAAGCCAGCCACGGGACGCTTCAAACTCCTCCATGCCCATAGTTAGCGTCGATCTCTCAAGCATTATACGGTCCGTCAAGCTGCCATTCACTTTCACTCTTGCATTCGGCCCATCATACAGTGCCTGTACACCTCTAATTGAATCTTTATTAAAGCCCAATTTTTCCATGACTTTCTATAGATACCGCACACTATCGAATGCCTTTTCTGCATCCAAGCTCACCAACACTGCACTTGTTCCTGTCTTACAAATCGCCTCCACTCTGTGTATTGTTTTCCTTATATTATTCTGGGCCTGTCTACCTTTAATAAAACCTGTCTGTTCCCTATCTATAACATCAGGCATGAATATCTCAAATCTTTTTGAGATAACTGAGGTATAGATCTTATAATCGACATTAAGTATGGATATTGGTCTGTAGCTACGACATAATTCTTTCTTTTTGCCCTCTTTAGAGATTATAGAGACAATTGCCTCTTTCCACGACGGGGGAATTTTGCCCTCCTTCGTGGTATATCTTGAAGTGAAGATAACAAAAGGGGACGTAGTTCCTGTCTAAATATCTTGTTGAACTCTGAGGGGAAGCCATCACTGTCCGAAGCTTTTCGGACAAATTTTTGCTCCACTGCTTGCTGTCTCCAATTCTTCTTCCGTAATCTCAGAGTTCAGAAATTCATTATCTTCTTCCCCTATTGATGGTAATTCCAGACGATCTAAAAATGTGATACTCTTCATCTGCTGCATCCGGTTGTGTATAGAAAGTCTGATAATACTGCTCAATGATGGTAATTCCAGACGATCTAAAAATGTTGTGATACTCTTCATCTGCTGCATCTGGTTGTGTATATAAAGTCTGATAATACTGCTCAAATGCTTCCTCTATTTCCCTTGGTTCTTTTAAAAATTAATTAGTTCTGGGGCACCTAATCTGATGAGTTGCGTTTAACGCTTGTTTTACCCTTAATAAGCCTTTAACCTTCTTGACAGTAATTTACTCGCCTGGTTCCACCTTCATAGTAAACCTGTTTCACAAGCCATGCTCTTTTCTCCACCTCTGTTAATAATATTCGATCTATTTCCTTTTTAGTCTCTGTGACTTTCATAAGTACCCCTGTATTATTCGTTCTTGTATGATGGTCTTCAAATTCTTTCAGTTGTCGTGTTAAGTTTTTATATAGTTCTTGTCTTGTCCTTTTAAGCTGTATTGCACGTGCTATAAATTTCCCTCTTATTACAGCTTTCAGAGCAATATTTGGATTCACTTCTCCATTATCATTTTCTTCCCTATATTTGGTTATATCTCCCTTTATTTCTTGTACTAATTCCTTGTCATTTAGGAACCCTACGTTCAACCTCCAAATAGTATTTTTCCTTCGACTGATCAATTTCACTGTCATATACATGGCACTGTGGTCTGACAAATCTGCGACAC